AAAGGAAACCTTATCAATCATTTCCCAGAACTGAAAGTGATTTTTCAAAACGGCTTTTTGCATTAAAAAGAGGATACTTTAATTAATAATAGAAAGTGATAACAGCAACAGTTCTGTTAATAATAAATGTGATGATGAATTACAAGCAAAGAGAAGAAAACTAGACGAAACTGCAACAAGACATATATGCATATATTTTTCCACCACTATTATAGACCATTCCAAGTATCTATCTCATATTTGGATTGTATTGCCATTATTCTAGCTTACTCATGACAATACAGGAAAATTTCCACCAGAAATCCAAGAGGAGGTTTGAGATTTTGTAGCATCAAGATGCAAAAGACTCACACTTTGACGCCTCCAGAGATGTCACAAACTTCTAAAACGCTTCTCACGGAGCTCAAAGACAACCTCTGCACTGATGAATGAAAGATTCATGATTGAAAATTCTTGCGTACACGGTTCAGGAAGCGAATGAGTTCTCGAAAGAGTCACGTCACTACTTTTTGTGGATCAAGGGGTTAAAATCAACTCTCAGAACTATCTTGATGAGATTCTGATAAAGCAACTATGTACTTCCTTCAAAAACTGTCTTTGGACATTCCAAAAGAAATGTTCAGCCTCAAAAACGTTTCGGGTTAACCGTGGTATTACTTCTTCATGTATGGCGTTTGTTGCTAATTGCTTGAATTTCGCAAAACTGATACAGAGTCTAAAATCAATGTAGATATAAATCAATCAGGCAGTATGGTGAATTGAGATCTATTTTAGTCTAAGAACATCAAAACGCTAATTTTGACAACACCACGCGTCATATCATCATATTGAAATTATGTAGCTGTTAAGACAGTTAATATTGGTTCGTTAATTTAAATTGCATTACTCAGATCTGGCGTCAGAACAGAAAATTGTTCGAGTTTCAAAATGTTGAAGCGCCTCAAAAGTACAGGAATAAGATCCTTGAATGGAGTTATAAACAAAAATTCTCTCGCGGTCGTGACGTTTTTTGATGAGAGGCTGTAAACGCGGGCGTTCGTATCGCGCGGTGGTGGGGGTGGTCATATTCGACGTCTTGCGTCGCGACGCCTCGATCGCAGTTTAGTGCTGGACGACAGTCGCCGCAATCGACTCGTTAAGAGAACACTTAGGTCAGTAGAAAGAACCAACTTTAGATTATTTTGAAATCAGTGACTTGAAAAGAAAAATAAAAAGCTTTCAAGCAGTGCCCAAAAAGTTCTTTTCGGGTTTTAGTTCAAGTTTTCAATTTTATTTTTGGTTATCGTAAGTAAATGTCAAAATTTTTTGATTTGATTCGATCAATTTTGAATTTTGTGTGTTAGGTAATCGTTTTAGTTTGGATTTTTTTGATCAAACTCAAAATTAACTCGTTAAGTAACTTTGATTTGACTCAGTTGTAATAGGAGGTGAGCTATAAATAACCATGCTCCATATTAGTGATCCCAGGTCTTTTTCGGTGACGTCACTCACCTTAATCGGTTCATCAATCTTTTCAATCAACAAAGACATTTTTTAAAATTTTATTTTCAAAAAAGTTAAAATTAGAAAATCGTTTGAAATCTTTAAACGTAAACTTTGGGAGTTAAAAAAAATGAAATAAACTGAAATAACAGTGGGAGTGAGAACCTCTATTTTTGAACATTCCAACCTTGGCCAGCAAAACGTTTTGCCAAAAAGTTGCTGTACGTGTATGAACTCGTTACGAATTTACGGGTGTCGTTTCTGTAACGGCATCGACCAAAATAGATTCGTTCGGGCCAAAATTTGCTTTTGGCGAGCGTTACCTCGACTTGCATCATCATCAACCTGATTGATCAAAAAAATTTGATTTTTTTAAATATTTAGAGGACCGACCGACACGCATAGAGAACCGCCAAGATGTTCAAAAATCACCTGGAGATGATAGGCCGGAATGAAACGGCTTCGAAGAAAGCCAAATTTTGGCAATCTTTTGTAAGATCCCTCAAGGGTGAGTTCAAAAAGCGACCTCTTTGAATTTATAAATAAAATAATTTTTTTGCGATAGGATCTGATGATATTAGGGCAACCGACCCGATTTATAGACCTCGCGGAATCTTCAGACCGATCAATGAATTCGCCGAGTTCTCCTCGACATGGCCGAAATCGATCTACGACGATCCCATTCACGCGGGAGAACGCATCCACGTTCCGGGATATCGTTATGATCCACTTCATCGCGATACTTACGGCTACTCACCCAGACCGATTTTCCCACACAACTACTCGACCTTAGACAGGTACCGACCTGGTAAGTCTGGCCATTAAATTCGAGATTCGGAAAAAAATCTCGTATTATCTTTTATTATTATTGTAAAATTTGTAAAATCACAAGATCTTTACTCTATATAATCAACGCCATACTCAGCGGCGACTTCGGTGACGAAGTGGGATTGATAAATATTAATTAAATTTATTCATTTATTTTCTATAAGTGTAAAAACTACTTCTTACAATTAGTTTGTAACTTCTTTGTCCAGTGGAAACTCGTGTCTAGTTAGCGAAAAATTTGTAAATAAGGCGACTGTTTATTATTACATGAATTATACTTGAATAAATGTGTTTTGAAAGACAAGACTACTCGAATATGTCTAATTGCCCGTGCAAAAGCTTGAGCACTTCACGTAATTCCATATTCACGCCGATTCTTTTTAAAAAAACTTATTTTTTATCTTTTTACTTAAGTACTACTGGATCACGCCAAAAACATTTAAATTTATTTCGAAGAAATTTGAGAAGAAAGTATGAAAAAAATCCCGTTTTTGGCTACACTATAAATTTGGATTTTGGCCACAGTTTATATTACGTCACATATATTTTTAGATTTTACGATTCTAATATAATGGGTTTAAAATTCTCATTTTTGATCGTTTTGGCAAAAGATTTCATCTCATTTCAATCGGATTTAACTCTTGGTTGTCCATAATAATGTTTTACATAAGATTTAATCAATGTCATGATCCTATTTGACTTTCTAAAGTTGTCCATAACAGTGAAAGTAGTTTGAAATGATGTTACTGCTTGTGTACATACTCCTTGGTTCACCATTAAGGAATAAAAGCAACGATAAGTCTTTCGTTTCAATCTTTTGGAGAGGATTAAGTGTTATCTCTTAGTCAATATTTGCATAAGATTTACAACGATTTAATCAATGTCATGATCCTATTTGACTTTAAAAAATTGTCCATAGCATTGCAAGTTATCTGAAAAAATTTTACTACATACCCCTTGGTTCAACATTAACTAATATAAGTATTATCTCTTAGTTAATAAAGATATTCCGTTCTTAATTTCCAAACCTATCCAAAGGATGTCTAGCAAACACCCTATAATGGGTTAATAGTCATTAAAGGTGAAGGTACAGGATAAGAAATCGACGTTATTGGAGTTTTAGTCCTCAACACATATTGCTGCTTTTATCCAGAACGATGCATCATCACAAAACGGTACAGATTTAAGCTTTAGTAACTTAATGAAAAAAGAGTCTGAAACAAAGATGATTAAGAATTGAAATTCTTGCATAAAGAAAATGAGGATGATGTAACGAGATATTAAATAGAAGATGATGCTTGACAACTTACGTCAAAAGGACGATTTTGCTAACAGCTGGATGTTCCTGAGAATATCATTGATTAAGATTAACTTCATAAATATATTTGCAACAATCAATTTTTTTCTATATCTGTCAAATTTGGTAACAATTAGAAAAATTAACAGGGAATTTTGTTATATCAAGTTATAAAATAAATTTGTGTCAAATCAATTTTTTGTATATTAATAATTTTTAGTTTTACATTAATACGCAAATAATTGAACTAAAATAAACGTAAAGAGCGCAATATTAATCTTAATCGTAATACAAAGAAAATTTAAGATTGACAGATATAAAAAAAAAGGGTGTACAAATTTGTAAAAGTAAATTCGGGATTTATCAATAGATGGCGCTAGCTGTCAATGTAATTAGCGTCAAATCGCGTCATTCATATCAATTTGTTAATATTTATAAGATTTTGAATTCTCAACGCTAAAAATTTCATACAACGACATAGTTTGTAATTGCGTTTAAAAATTTCGAATTTGGAAAATTAAAATGTGACGATTTTGAATTATAATGAAAAATGGACGCATTTGAAACGAACTTCATTCGAATCACTGACATTGACGTTGCATTTATAACCTCAACAGTACCGATGATAACATTTGTCCCTGGATCATATTAATGATTAAGAACTGTGGAATGATTGGTGTGGTATTTAAGCAATACATAAAGAATACATGGTCGGATGCACATTGCATATATGGAGAATGCATATATATTGGAGAATGAAGAATGCAGAAGAAACACTTGCACTAACTTTGGAAAGAGAAATCCCGAAGCTCACTCGAGCGTATTAACAGCCCAAATCTTAAAAAGAAATTACATCCTTATATCGATGGAGCTTTAAGTCTGTTATATTTGGCATATCAGAAAGATATTGATATCAGACTGGTATGGGGTACCGGGGCATATGGGAGTAGAAACGAAAAAGCTGACGAATTAGCGAACAGGGGACACCAGGAGGAGGTTCACAGAGTAAAAATCTATGGAAAAGAATTACATCAGCAAGATGTTAATGACATAAACCATTAATGCAAACAAGAGTGGACTGAATGTTTCTAGTTGTAGATCTAATGTTAGTTCTAGTGGCAGGGACAGGTAGCGCTATTTAACATAAGATATCACTATGTGGCATATTTTTATTGAACTAACACTAAAACTAACACTAGACCTAGAAAGTATCCTAGAAAAACCTAGAACTAGAATCATCCAAGAGTCAGTGAAAACTCTGTAGCTGAAGCATGATATGAACGAAAAGTTCGAACTCCAAACCCCAACCGGATGTCAATCATCATCAAATCAAAACCTCAACAACAAGTTTGTTAATGTAGAAATGCTTGATTATTATAAATAATAAAAAAAAGGGATTTATTTCACACTACGATTTTAAAATAAAATGGTGCAATCCAGTTTTACTTGACAAAGTAGATAATTAATTCCATAAACTAACGTTAGTGTGCTTACAAAGCAGCTTTTTAACCCGCTCCAGCGATTGCCAGGGCGATGACTTATTTTAATTTCACTTTTTGTTGTTTCCACCACGTTGCTTTTACCATAACCACACCACATCCATCAATTCCTCCCCCGAAAAAAAAATGATTAGACAAAAATGTATTAAATAGTGATTTTATCCATATTTTTTCTTTAAAAAGTGTCAAGAAAGAACATCACCACCACATCTTCCGAGATTGATTAAAAAAAAAGTAAAAAGCTTATTACTAATTAATCACCATATAAATGTCATTATAACGGCATTAAAAAAATTTTTTTTTGATACGTTATCCAAGACGTGATTTTTTTGAATAAGGTAAGACCGATTTTTTGTCTCCTTTTTTTTGATAATGTCACAATCACTGTCACAACAATGAGCTTAGCTGCTGCTCTTAACTGCTTTTTAAGACAAGCAAGTATTGGTAGTAGTCAAAATTATATACATAAATGATGCATGATTTAAATTTCAACAAATAAATAAAATAAAGAGGGATAAAGAAGAAGTGATTGGAAAAGCTTTGCTTCCACGCTAAATAAACAACAATATAAATATTTACAAATTTAAAATGAGATTTAGATTTAGAAAAAAAAATATTTCGATTTTCTTTTGTAAATTAGTATACCACGTGTCAAAACCAAGGAGCCCTTTTGACGCTGATAAGGCATGGCAAGATCATTTGGATCGTGTCTCAAAGAGGGAACCAAGCATCTTCCACACGACTTATCCATTCAGCCGTTACCCGCTTTACTTAGTCTACAGCAAGAGACCACCACCACCACTTCCGCTTGACCCCAACCGCAGTTGGTTGGATCATTTGGATCGTTTGGGAATGTTGGATAGGCTCGGTAATTACTGGCCGAGATACTTATCACCAACACCCATCAAAGTAAGAATAAATATTTTAGCTAAATCAATTTTGATTAATTTTCTTTTTCGTTGCGTTAGGTTGGAGATTTCGCCCCAAGGCCATCCGAGGTAGCTTACAACTACGCTGGTCAACCGATTTACACCCGAGGAGGCCTGCTGCCAAGTAAGAGACTCTATCATGAATTATTGAATCCCAGCCCCTATCGTCCCATCTCCTCCTTCGTTCGCAATCCCTGGTGGTGGGATTGGCCCTATCTTCGTCCCTACAACCCTCTGTTCAGGTGGAGGCCACCGTTCTACCTTAGGGACTCTTACCTCTCCCCGGTGAAGAGGACCTATCTTTGGGACAAGCACCCCATTCGACCTTTCGGTAAGTCTTCTTAAACGGGCTCCTCAAATCCATCTTATTCTCAAAAAGACTCTTTAATCAATTACGATTTCTCCAAATTTTTTCCTTAAAACAAAAGTCTATTGAGAATAAAAAAACATTCACTAAACACCATCGCAGAATTTTTTTTGAATCAAATTTTGGAAATCGGACAGCAACTTTAGGCACGGGTCGCTTTATTCTAACACCAAAATCATAAAGAGTTTCATTTTTGGGTAAGTAAAATTGAATTGATTCCCCAAAATTTACTTTCACCCTTTTTTTTCTCTTATCTTAGAGATAGAAAATTTGTCCCTTTTCAGCTGTCCTCTATGTAAATCGTTTTTTTACTATTTATTTTTGTGTTTTTAAAACAAATTTTCTAAATTACTAACTCACTTTAAACGTTAATTAAAAACCAAACGATTAATTTGATTTATTTGATTTTTCAGCGGCTGTCTTCTAAGTGCATCTTCTTACTGCAACTTAAAGTTCAACCAAAAATCGACGAAGAATTGTTTAAAACGAAACACCACGAATTGCGGCAAGATTAAGCAAGCAGCTATTTATAATTTAATTTTAAAAACAACTAAAAGGATAAAAAAATTATTAAAACTGTAAACTAAACAAAATTGAAAAAAAAATCATGTTAATAAATAAGATAAAAATGCTAAAATCTTTTAACATAAACGGCAAAAATGTTATTATTACAAATTACGACTGCACTTCTTTGGGTTTTACCGTTCGAATGAAACACGTGTCTCGCATTCCACCCCCCCAAACGTAATAGGTAAAATATTCCTTAGAAGTGCAGATTAATTGAGAGAAAATATGTTTTTATTTTGATCCCTTAGGCATGTCACCAAATAAATTATTTACAATTAATTAGTTTTTCTTTTAATCCAATTAATTTCTCCTTTTACAACTTGACAAATTTATCATGGCCTATAATGTAAATCGTTAAAATGAGATAGGCGAACTCATGACATTGACAACCAACGATGTGGCAACGTCGCTCGCTTTGAATACTTTAAACAGTATTTAGTCTTCCTTTAACAATATCTAATCCTCTGTCAACTCAATACATACTCTGTTGCCTGAAGATTTTTGCCTTCTGTCAGCAGAATCTAGTTCTCTGCCAGCAGGGTTTAGTTTTTTGCCAGCATTATTTAGTCTTTCATTAACAGTATCTAGTCTTCAGTGAGCAGTATTCAGTCTCCTATTTGTAATATTTAGTCTTCCATTAACAGTGCCTAATCTTCTGCCAACATATTCTGGTATTTAGAACTATATAAGCAGCAACGTAGTCCTTTCTCAGCAGTATCTAGTCTTCTGCCAGTAAAATTTAGTCTTCTATAGCAGTTTCCGGTTTTCCATTAACAGTATTTAGTCTTCTGACATGTGTCATTAATCAAAACATTAATCATTCCTACTAAGATCAATTTGATTTTAAAAGTAATGTAAGAAATGACATTGACAACCAACGATCTGGCAACGTCGCTCGCTTTGTTTCTTTCTGAATAGGCCATAACGTCACTTAGAACTTATTTCTGAAGGAAGTTCTAACATAGCATTCGAAATCGTGTTACGGATTCCCGGATTACCCGAAAATTTCTAGTTTTAGTTTTATTTCTCATATCATCGGCTGTGGAAGCAACGTTGCTAGATCTACGACACATGGCATAACCTCAGAATAACCATAATTACTGTTATTCTGTGGCGAAGCAAGCGACGTTACCAGATCGTTGTCGATGACTGTAGAAATAGCGCCCGCCAAAAATTTAGTACATACAAGTGTCAAAAAATGTCGAGTCCTTCTTTTAAATATTTCAACAGGTTGTTACAACCACACAGCGAGTACCAAAGTCGTTTTAAGCGTTTCTACAGTGGCGTATCGTGTTCATGAGATTTTTTGGTCTAAGATGGACCGACAAGTGTGACGACACCGTCTTGCTGAAGAATGAATCCTTTTCTTCATGGCGTAGCAAACCATCATAGAAGGTTCTTGAGTAATTAACATTGGTTTTGGTGGTTGCGAAGCGACTTAATCGTAAAAATCATCTCAACGGTTAAAAGAACTTTTAATAAATGAGCACCAGCGATCAGGCGAATCGATACTGATGNTTTTTATTTTGATCCCTTAGGCATGTCACCAAATAAATTATTTACAATTAATTAGTTTTTTTTTTATCCAATTAATTTCTCCTTTTACAACTTGACAAATTTATCATGACCGATAATGTAAATCGTTAAAGTGAGATAGGTGAACTCATGACATTGACAACCAACGATGTGGCAACGTCGCTCCCTTCGTTTCTTTTTAAATAATGTAAACAAATAACATGATATTCGAAACGAATATGTATATAGAAACCAGGATTGTTTTAATTTTAAAAGTAATGTAAGAAAGTCTTCCTTTAACAATATCTAATCCTCTGTGAACTATACATACTCTGTTGCCTGCAGATTTTTGTCTTCTGTCAGCAGAATCTAGTCTTCTGTAAGCAAAATCTAGTTCTCTGCCAGCAGTGTCTAGTTTTTTGCCAGCATTATTTAGTCTTTCATTAACAGTATCTAGTCTTCAGTGAGCAGTATTCAGTCTCCTATTTGTAATATGTAATCTTCCATTAACAGTATTATTCTTCTGTTAGCGGTATTTAATCTTCTGCAATTAGTAGATAGTCTTCTTCTTGCAATATTTAGTCTTCCATAAACAGTGCCTAGTCTTCTGCCAACATATTCTGGTATTTAGAACTATATAAGCAACAACGTAGTCCTTTCTCAGCAGTGTCTAGTCTTCTGCCAGTTATATTTAGTCTTCTATAGCAGTTTTTGGTTTTCCATTAACAGTATTTAGTCTTCTGACATGTGTCATTAATCAAAAGATTAATCATTGCAGCTAAGATCAATTTAATTTTAAAATTAATGTAAGAAATAACATTGACAACCAACGATCTGGCAACGTTGCTCGCTCAAAATCATCTCAACGGTGAAAAGAACTTTTAATAAATGAGCACCAGCGATCAGGCGAATCGATACTGATGTTTAGCTAGTTTACCATTTTCCTGATCGAACACTCCGGGTTGCGTTGTGTTTAGGAACAACATTACATGAGGAATCCAATAAAATTAACGGAAAAAACAATAAATCACAATGTAAAAGTCAATTCATTAAAAAAAGAAGACGGAAACTTTTTCAACACTCTGTATATCGTAATATACAAGCTTCTCAGAAATACATATAAGGGGAAAGGAGATGTTTTGACTAATTAAGTCGAGGTTGTTTGCGGTCGAGGCTCAGTGAATAAGATTAAATGATCCTAAAATTAAGTATCATAATGAAATGTCTCGGTCTCATGTAGACTCATGTTTTGAATAAATTAGTCGCTTGCGAGTGAGGCTCTGTGATTAAGACTGTATTAACCTAAAACTGATCATATTATAACGATAATTAAGCCGAGATGGTTTACAGCCGAAGCTGATTGAATATGATTATCTCAACTTGAAGCTGCTCATCATTTTGTCATGCCCATATGAAATACACTGTGTTAATTAATTATCGTAACCTACGTAACCTGTGTAAAATTGGCTGCATATCTCAATATGTAGTGGTAGCTTGCATAATTTTAAATTATAGTCTGTTTTTAAACCAGGAGGAGTATTTTAAATTTGTCACCAGATTGACCTTGCACGTGATTGGTTGAATGCGAGGAAGGTTCACACACAGGCAATTTTGAATTTGAAGGTTAGGTTATTGACAATTCGACAGTTTCGTGTCATTATTGTAAATTTTGTGTTCTTAAACCCTTCTTTATTATATTTTGAAATAAATACACTCATAACTTCAATGTTAATTTGTATGTTTAGTGTTGACGATAACAAACGAAAATAAATACAATAATAAGTAAATAAATAAATAATAATAATTATTAATTTAAATTTACCGCCAAAATATCTAGTGATATTTTCTGGTGATTTTTCCTAGTGTAAATCTGACTTTCGCGTTTACTCCTCCTGGTTTAAAAACAGAGTATAGTTCTAGTGCAAGTGTTAGTTCTAGTTTTAATTGTTATTCAGCGCTAAGTTGTATATTTTTAAGTTTCGGGTTTAGCCCTGTGTCTTCAGACGCTGAATGTTAGGTAAGGTTAGTTTTGTTTACAAACATTAATTATACCATGAAGTATTCTTTGGCAATTAGTAATGGCAATTATAGCGTGAAGTTTTCTTTTGTAATGTCAATTATAGCGTGAAGGAATGTTAGGTAAGGTTAGTTTTGTTTACAAACATTAATTATACCTTGAAGTTTTCTTTGACAATTATAGTCTGTTTTTAAACCAGGAGGAGTATTTTAAATTTGATACCAGAGTGACCTTGCACGTGATTGGTTGAATGCGAGGAAGGTTCACACAGGCAATTTTGAATTTTGATTTTGAATTTGAAGGTTAGGTTATTGACAATTCGACAGTTTCGTGTCATTCTTAAACCCTTCTTTATTATATTTTGAAATAAATACACTCATAACTTCAATGTTAATTTGTATGTTTAGTGTTGACGATAACAAACGAAAATAAATACAATAATAAGTAAATAAATAAATAATAATAATTATTAATTTAAATTTACCGCCAAAATATCTAGTGATATTTTCCTAGTGTAAATCTGACTTTCGCGTTTACTCCTCCTGGTTTAAAAACAGAGTATAGTAACCAGATGTTGACAGCTGATCGAACGTTATTGTTGAGATTATAGCACGCTTTGTATTTTTCTCGCGATCGTTTTTAGGAACTTTCGTCGCGTTGCAATACCAATTTGTGATATTGGTTGCGTACTTTATACAATAATTAATTAACACACTGTACATACTGGAATACTTTTGTTGGGCACTGTATACCGTATCACCGGCCAAGATAGGTTTGCCAAAATGATCATGGGACATAAAATTATAGGAATATTTTATGGATGTGAAAATCGTAGGAAAAATTTAAAAAAATATTCCTTTCATTTACGAATAAGAATACATTTTATTACAAAATCAACGCAATAATATAAAGTTTTAATCCAAAACTATTCCATTAATGAAATTCCTTAAACATAACCCCAAGATCAGAGTACATAAAAAATACAGTCAACCTCTATGTTTATGTTTTAACTTAAATTCTATTTTTTATTACCTGACACTATTTGTTAATTTATATACAACCTCGCGTAAAAAAAGCACTTATCCTCCTAAATCAACTAATCATAATCATTAGATAAAGCTTTAAGTTTTACACCTACCGAGATTACATTGCAGCAAATAATTATTTTCATCGAAAATAAAAAAAAATATTCAACCACTTCACGCACTTATTTACGGCCGGCGAAGGTCCCAAAGATGTGCATTAAGAGATTAATAATTAAAAATAATACTGTACATACTTGTTTCGGCTCACTTTGAGAATTTCTTATTTTTTTTTTAATTAATTCGCACTCACTTTCCGAGGACCCATTTGATTCGTGCATAAATTACAATCTTCATCCGATGAATCCGAACTGGAACTATCCGAATCGGAACTCGTCGTATCTGAATCTGAACCTGAACCATCCGATTGGCTGTCATCATCATCACGAACAATCGATAAAGTTTGATTCATCATTGTATTTAATGGTAAATTATATATTTCATTTGGAGAATACTCCTATTTAAAAAAAAAAACAAAATTAATAATAAAATCGCAACCTTAACAAACATTTTACTTTATAATGATCGGTGTATTGCCCAGGAACCAAAGCGATTGGATAACTCCCAACTTTTCCTTTATCCAAAACTTTAAATCTCCCTTTCGGATAATTAATAGTAAAAGTTTGCAAATCCATACAAGCTTTACGATCCTCCTTTCTTGTACGATTAAACGACAGGTTCCAAGACGCAGCCGATTGCATCGCTTGTTGGGTTAAATCGTGTTTACTCTTCTCTTGGCTTACAACTAAATTAAGCGCTTTTTGTTTATTGATGATGTCTTTAGTGTGTCGATCACGCTGATGTTTACAATACTCCTCGTATTTTGGCTGAAAATCTGAGTACATAATATCTAAAATATCCGCACTCGCCACAGCTGTTAATCCCATATCGCACATTGCTTCCGAAGCTAAACAACTTTCCCTTATAAAATCCCTTTCTTGCATATCAACAGGTCTTCTTTGAATACCTACAAATTAATAATCGTTAAAAATTTATTAAATAAAAATTAATAAACATTACCTGGATATTTTCGTTTAAAAGATTTTATCCCTAAAAATTGGGCGACTTGTTCCTGGATCATGTAAGGCCCGGATCCGCTCCAATAATATTCAGCAAGTTGATCAGGGGATATGATGTCATCTTGTTCCGGGTGAACTTCAAGCCGGCTACCTTTTCGTACTTTAACACTTTCGGTAGTTGCAGTGCTTTGAACGGAACTTTGGGTATCATCGATATCAGCAACAGCAAGAACCTAAAAATAAATAATTTGCATTTAATTTAGTGGTTAATTTTAAATGTCAAATTTATTAATACAAAATATACTCCGCCATCTATCGGTGGAAATTTAAGTTAAAGAGGCGCGGTAAATTCAAATTAATATAAACGTAGACTTTAATTATTAGATAACATATTAATAATTAACAAGATCAATTTATTATGAATAGCGATATCTTAATTCAAATTAATATAAATATGGGCTTTAATTATACATTAGATAACACATTAATAATTAACAAGATTAATTTATTCCCAACAGCGACATCTTAATAATTCAATCAGAAATGTAAACGCAATAGAATAAAATATGATAATTTTTAAAAAATTGGAATTATGTTAATGTTAACATGTTCGTTATAAGGGAAATGAGAAGATAAAACTGGAAAACTTTTTAATGATAATAAATTTGAACAAATGTTTTTATATCTACATAGATTAATTGAATTTTGTGTAAATAGGTGGTGCTGATAAGAAATGTCATATAAAATTAAATGGCAGAGAAAAAATTTTGACATTTAATGAAAAAACGTTTCTAAGTAAAGCTAACACTGTCCCAAGTAGAATGCCAAATACGAATACAAAACGACCTATCTCACAACACATACGGGTTTGCGACAAGGAAATCCATTATCAACCCTTTAATTTCACAAAAAAAGCTATAAGACAAGCGAGTATTAATAAAAGAGGGACAAATATAAATAAGAGTGTACAAATACTGGCATATGCCGATCATATGGACGTCATAGAACTAAGATAGATATGGTAGAAGCGAAATCACACACGTGTGGGCCTGAATTACCTTTAGGGCGGCCCGACTGTCCGTGAAAATGTTTATCAATGCACATTTCTGTCCCTTTTCTAGGTTCAAAATGGTGCAGAGGTTATAGCAAGAACTTGAAAAATGGTTATGTCCGAGCTGAGGGGCAATTTAATGCGGCTATTTGGTTCCAACTGTCTTTGAAGCATCGGTGTACCAGGCAAGGGCTCCTCTTTTAAGATGAAGCTCGCCCTTCACCCAATCATCCCTGCTTCTAAATATGACCTTATAAAGAAGATACTTATACACATATATAGAGGAATCCAAGAACAGGGACAGTGACGCAGACGTTTTAACCATGAACTGTATCAAAAATACAAGGAACCGGATATAGTAACTATAAAAAATTGAAAGACTGAGATGGATAGCATATGTGTAGCACACGAATGATGAAAGTGGAATGAACGGAACAAATAGATAGACAAACACCGGTAGGACAGAGATTGAGAGGAAGGCCAAAGACGAAATATATGGACTAGGTGGAGAAACTAGAGAGCAGTGGCCCGTAATAACGAGGAATACATTTCTAAACAAGCTAGGGATGTTAGATGAAGTCTAATAATGTTCATAAACGTCTTTATACATTTAACGGTGATAATAGGCCATACAAACAGACCGAGTTTGAATTGATGTTTGTTTAATTGAGAGTTTGAGTGCTAAATGCTATCTTAAATCTTGAAGGTAATTTTCGGCTTGGTTCTCCATATTCTTTTAAAAGTATGGAAATTTTCTTCTTCTAAATGAGAAACATTCCTCCCAAGTAATACGAAAACGTTTATTTTCGCATTTTCTTATATTATTTTCATCTTGATACCCAATAACTTGTCGTAAAGTTATTTAACGTAAAAAATAAATAATTGAATAAGTACTTACATTTAAAAATAGTATAAATTCCCAATAACCACATCAAAACTACATATATCAAACACTTCCTCTCCCGATTTAAACTAGATTGTTTAAGTAGTAACAACTTTGAATTTTTCTTATAATATTTATAAAGTTTAATGAATTTTATTAATATCAAAAAAATTACTTACTTTAGCTGGTGTATGAGCCCTACTGGAATGAATATCAGCACTCATCCTCGTTTCTTCCTCAATGAGTACAACATCGCTGCCGCCATCTGAAGAAATTTTCTCACCGGTCACACTTTCTGTATTGCCGGTATCGTCAACGCCAGGAGGTGACTCAATTACTTCTCGATGATGATGATGATGCGTTGGAGGCAAGGGTTGAGGAGGGTGCTCTTCTTCTTTCGGATCATCGTCCGGTATTTCGATAATTTCGTCCACAGCCAGTCGCCTGTAATCGGATGTCTCGACGATTTCTTCTTCGAGCAGCAGCTTTGATCTCGTCGACACTCTTTGCTGCTGCATTCACACAAAAATCCAAATGTCAGTTTCAGTTCAGTCAATTTTTGGAAGGCGGTGTTGTTGGCATTTTTATTTTATTCTTGCACGTAGGGTCTTATTTATATATATATATGTGTATTTTTTTTTTTGATTAATAATGTACGATTATAAAATTAAACATATTATTAAACGTATGTGTGAGCTTAGAAACGAGGCTTTAAAAATAAAATTTTGTAAATAAAATCGCATCGTGGGGTACCCCACTTTTTTCTATAAATATCACTCTAGGCACTGCACGTGGGAAATCAGAAAGAGATGTATATACGATATTTTTAGATAAATAAATGATTCAAAAAAAATTTAAATAACATACGTTTAATGTTTCCTCTTTTTTAATTAATTTTATTTATTTTTTTTTTAACTTTTTTAATTTTAAGGTTTATTTTCCACTTTCAACTCACCCTATTCCCACCTCTAGAGCCTCCTCTCGAGCCCCTACCTCTTCCCCTGCCTCTCGTCCCAGCTCCACCTCCGCGAGGTTTTCTCGGTTTGATCCCGAGCGTCGTACAAACGGACGGCCCCCTACAACTACGTTTAGGCCTTCCGGTATCTTCAACGACCGGCGTCGTCACTTCCGTTTCTTCATCTTTCGGATCTTTAAATTCTTCCCGAACAACCAGCGGAATTTTTCTGGGTCGTCCTCGTTTTCGAGGCGGCGGCGGCACAACAACCGGCGGAATCGCAACAATTTGACTTTGAACTTGCGGTTGCAAGTTTTGTTTTTGTTGGGATTGGGTGTTAATTTGAAAGGTGGGAATCGCATCGATCGGGTCTTCAACGATTGATGTGTTATCTTTGACTTCGATTTCTTTTTCACTAAAACTCGGCAAATCAATCAAATCAATTTTAGCACGCTTAGTTTCGCTGTCATGTGATTGTTCCGACCCCCTCTTTAATTTTTGATCGGAAACTATATGGGCGTGACCCCCTTCTTTAGAAAATTTTAATTTTATTTTCGCCAATTTTTCAATTTCTTCGCTAGCTTCTCTTTTTCGACTCTCTTTAGTGTTAATTTTTAAAACAATTCGTTCTTGTTTTATTTGATCCTCGAAATCGATTGATTCTAACGTTTCATCAACCGGTTTTACAATCGGTTTAATTTTAATTTTAGGACTCCCTTCTTTTTTTTCGTGCCGATCTTCTTCTTGGGGTTTTATTAAAGGTTTTATGGTGATCTTAGGGGAACATTCTTCATCATCAGGGGGTTTAATCGGCTTTATTGTAATTCTTGGGCTATGCACCATTTCTTCATTTAACATTTTCCCATCATCCCCTTTAATTGGTTTTATTGTAATTCTGGGACTATGAGAACGATCATCATCTTTTAAATCTTTCAAATCTTTGTAATCTTTATAATCCTTGTAATCTTTTGAATCATCATCCGGTCGAATTAAAGGTTTTATTGTAATTCTTGGACTAATTTTAGGTTCATCTTCAGGTTTAACAATCGGTTTTATCGTTATTTTAGGGGTAAAATTCTCCTCGTCGTTTTTGATCGTTTTAACAACCGGTTTAATCGTGACTTTAAGTGACGATGACGATGAGGAGGTTTCGATTTTTTGATGTTTAACTTTTGGGCTACACGGTCGATTTGGACTCATATTTCTAATTAATAATTTTGGAATCGATTGTTCTTGCTCGTCAATTTGGGGGCTTTGTGGGCGAACGGGTTTTATTATCAACTTGGGAATCACATCTTTTTTTTGACTTTTTTGATCTTTCGGGTCGTATATTTTCAAAATCGAATCTTCTTCTTTAGGACTATCAATCTTATGTTTTGTTATTGTGAGTTTTAACACTTCTTTCGTTGACATTTTAGAACTATATTGAGGGGTTAAAACTTCCTCCTCTTTACCCTCAATTACAGGTGACTCAACATCAATCACCAAAGGTTGAATTTGTGAACAAGATTGCGATGATATTTGAGGAAGCAAATTTGATTTTTGCGATTCTTGTTCGATCATTGATTTATTTCGCGACGATTTATTTATCTTCGTCGTCTCAATTATATGTTGCACTACAACATTCTCTTCTTCAATATCTAATATTTCTAAATTATCTTTATTTACATCTTTATTAACCTCAATTTTCATTTCATCACTTTGAGTTTGATTCGCTGTTAAAGCAGCTGCCGTTGCGATCACCTCAGTATCATCAGCTGTTGGATATCTAATTCTCTCCTCAACATGAACTGACTCAATATCTTTCTCATATTCAATAACTGGGGTATCCACAACTGATTTATTATCAGTTTGAGTCAAATCAATGTGATAATATTCCATATTCGATGGCTCACAAATCGCTAAAGCAGCTATATTCCCCTCATCTAAAGAATCTGGAATCACTGAAATCGACTTAATTTTTTCTTGGACTATTTCAGATTGTGTATTATACGATTCATCTTGTTTTAAATCAGAATCATCTGATTTCGTTGGAATTTCATTATCTTGAATCGTTAAAGTATCTTCTTGTCTTTGATTTTCATCACATATTTGAGAAGATTCAACGTTTTCGGAATTATTTAATTCAATAATTTCTTCTGATTCAATTTTCTCTTGGAAATTTTTAGTATCTAATTCTTTTTCTTCAACAATTTCTATTTTATTTTCCTTCAATGCAAGGTCTTTTTGTGTCAAACTTTCAGTTTCAACTTTATCACTTTCTTTCTGTTCATCAACCAGTTTTAAATCAGTTTCTTCTAGTATTTGAGGTACTTCAATTACTTTTTCTTCCTCTTTAATTATTTCTTGTTCAATATTAATATTTTCTGGAACAGCTTCAGAGGTTGTTTGATCATTTACCTCAGTATTTTCAATGGTACATACTAAACTTTGAGATTCATCAGGAATTTTGATCTCATTTTGAGGATTTTCGGTTTCAACTATTTCTGGGATGCTTACAATTTCGACTTTATCCATTTCTTCCTGAATAGCTTCTTCAATAATACTTGTTATTGTCATCTTTTCACTTTTTTCATCTTCATTTACCGTTTTAATCAACAAATTCTCATCATTGTTAACATTTTTGGACTGAATTGTCTCATTAATTACTTCTGATACATTCTCAACTTCCATTTCTTGAACATTTTCAATTTTTTCATTAATATTTACAATTTTTTCATCAACAATTTCAATTTTTTCTTGAACATTTTCACTTGATTCAACCAATTTTTCTTCCATTTTTTCCTTTTCCTTCACTTCATCTTTTCTTTGTATCAAAACTTCCTCAATGTTAACTAATTTAGAATCCACATTAACATTTTCTGATTCAGCAACATCTTCCAATACCACCTTTTTGTCTTCAATCTTATCATCAACTTCATTTGGAACATCAGATTCTTGTAAATCCATTTCTCCACTTTGAGTTGATTCAACTTCCTCAATTTTTTTACTTTCTTTAAAATCATCAGAACTCTCTGTTACAGTTTCACCACTTTCTAAAGGTATTAAATCTGCCTCAAAAGGCTCACATGGTTTGATTTCAGCCTCTAACTCAACTTTTTTATCATCAACTTGATCAATTTCTGAAACTTCTCCACTTTCTGATGAAACAACTACTTCAATCTTTTCATTTTCTTGACTTATTTCACTTTCTACCTGTTTATCATCAAGTTTCTTGTCAGACTCATTTTCTTGACTTATTTCACTTTCAATCTGTTTATCATCAAGTTTCCTGTCAGATTCATTTTCTTGTCTTATTTCATCTTCAACCTGTTTATCATCAAGTTTCCTGTCAGATTCATTTTCTTGTCTTATTTCACTTTCAACCTGTTTATCATCAAGTTTCCTGTCATATTCATTTTCTTGACTTATTTCACTTTCAACCTGTTTATCATCAAATTTCCTGTCAGATTCATTTTCTTGACTTATTTCACTTTCAACCTCTTTATCATCAACTTTCCTGTCAGATTCATTTTCTTGACTTATTTCATCTTCAACCTGTTTATCATCAAATTTCTTCTCAGCTTCATTTTCTTGAGTTATTTCACTTTCAACCTGCTTATCATCTAATTTCCTGTCAGATTCATTTTCTTGACTTATTTCACTTTCAACCTGTTTATTATCATCAAGTTTCTCATCAGATTCATTTAACTGATCCATTTTTAAAGTTTCTGGATTTTTTTCATTAATTTCCTTCAATTCATTATTTTCCAACACTGGCTTCATCTCAACTTCTTCCTCTACCATTTTAATTTGACTTTCAACCTCAATTTCATTTTTATCTTTTTTTTCAACAATCTCATTCTCTTTACATTCAAGAGAAATTTCCGGTAACAAAACATTTTCTGATTCTTGAACTTGTACATCATTAATTTCATCATCTTTCTTATCTTTAACAACTTCTTGAACATCTTCTGATACTTTTTCTATTTCCTCTGTCTCATTTTGTATGAAATTAATTTCCTTAGCATCATTTTGTGCTTTATTTACTTCTTCAACTTCTTTTAAACATTCTTGAACCTCTTTTGGACATTCTTGAACTTCTTTTGAGCATTCTTGAACTTCATTGGGGCATTCTTGAACTTCATTAGGACATTCTTGACCATCTTTTAAACATTCTTGACTTTCTTGAGCTTCTTTTGGACATTCTTTATCTTCAATAGAAGATTTTTCAATTTCTTCTTTCCCAGCATCATTTAAATTAACTTCCGATTCTAAATTAACATTTTCAGAACTTCCTACAACTTTTTCCCCACCTAATTTATCATCATTTCTTACATTAACTAAATTTACATCAATAATTTTACCATTTACATCTAAATTTGTTCCTTCGTTTAAAGAATTTTCTAAAATGTTACTTTCTGAGCACGATGTAGAATCCAACGTTGTTGATTCTTTTTGATCCTTAATCTCATCATTTTTAATGTATTTTTTATTGGTAGAATCAACCTCTTGATTCTCGGCTATTTTGTTATCGTCATTTCCATCTATATTAGTGGGTGATGTGGACACACCTTTTTCTTTATTTTTATTAAGGGGAATCAAATAGTCGTTGCTCGTCTCGCCTAATAAATTCTCCAAGTCGGTGGCGATGTCTTCGACGTCCTCGTTAATCTTCTCCGTGCGAATATTTTCGATATTTAAATCTGAAGAGAAAAAATCCTCTTTTTCATCGTTAAAATTGTAAGTGCTTACGGAATCGGATGTGCTGCTGATGGGGTCGTCTTGGATCGTTTTTGAATAGCTGCTTCCTAAATTTGCGTCTGAGGAAGAACTGGGGACCGAATCCCCGGTTAAAGTTTGGGTAGCGTCGTTGCTGTCAGTTAAAGTTGAGGTTAACTCCGCAGACGCGGACGAATTTTCAGTCGTTTCCATCGTTTATAAACGTTCGAAACCGAGTTTTCACTATGATTTTTAAACTTAAATTAACAATTTTCCCACTTTTTTGTCACATTAACACTTCGTTTTATGCTTGACATTTTTTAAGTTTTCTGAGCGAAGAGACGCACAGTTGTCAAACTTATTATACCAACTGCTAGACACAAAATGTCACTAGTCACTAAGAAATTACTTTCATATATTTTTTTAATAAAAAAATAATAAAAATAAATCAGAATATTAATAAATATTAATATATAAAATAAAAATTTACTTAAATTAAAAATATAAAATAAATTAATTTGAAGTGACATCTATCAAAATTTAGATGACATATTTATTGTCAAAAAACTAACCTAAAATTTTTAAGTAAATTCTTTTAAAGAATTATATTTAAACATTAAAATTAATCAACATGCACGAAGCTTATAACATAACAAACATTTTACAGCTTACAGTTCAAGTGGAATGTTTAACAGCATACGGTAATGAATCATGACTCAAATCATATCAATATTAATTGATTAATTATTTGTAGATGAGAGTTTATTTTTGGGTACAAGACAAGGTCACTTATACATGTACAGTGTAACATTAAAAGATGATAAACCGGAAGTTAGTTTAATGAGATTAAATAAATCGTTTAGTAAAAAAGCGATCCAACAAATCGAAATAGTCCCACATCATGATTTGCTTATATGTTTATCAGGTTTTTTTATCTCATTTAGCTTAAATTTATTTACCCATTTAATTTTTTAGATAACATTATTCAAGTGCATAACACAAAAGAAGTCAGCTTTCCAGTTGTTCAGCAAATAGAGAGTTCGAAAGGGGCCTCATTTTTTGCATTGCACACCCAGGTGCAAACCTCATTAACCGGGGAAACAGTGTCTTTAGTCCGAATGTGCATAGCAATCAAACGCAAGCTTCATTTATTTTATTTAAAAAAAAATAATTTCACCGCATTCGAAAATTCAACAGTTAATTTAAAAGATCTTCCAAAAACGATAATTTGGTGTGGAGAAACAATTTGTGTGGGTTATAAAAACGAGTATTGTCTGTATACTTTAAATTCGAAAGATAAACCCCAAGATTTATTTACAACAGGAAGCCGATCCACAGAACCTTGTTTAGTTAAAATAACCGAGAACACTTTCGCTGTTGGCCGTGAAAATCAAACTGTGGTTGTAAATGATCATGGCTCGGCGGCGACCAGTAAAGTTTTGAAATGGTCAGACACCCCAACTGGGTTAATTTGGGATAAACCATATTTATTGGGAACCTTACCGGATGCAATTCATGTACAAAACTTAGAACCCGGTGGGATGACCCAAATTTTAGGAAATCTCCCCAAAGTTAGGTTAATTACTCGCGCGAAACAAGGATTATTAATCGCAGCTTCAATTAGTAACGTTTGGTGTATTTACGCGGTTGATGTTGCAGCTCAACGAAAAGTTTTATTGGATGATAAACAATTTCAATTAGCAATTCAATTAACTGTAATTAAAAAGTTCCGAATTTGGAGATTTTTACATACAACGCGTTGCAATTTCTTTGGTCATTGAGTAGCGGAAAATACTCACAAAGTACCTAGAACGCGATGTGAGTATTTCATGGTTGCTCACAACACGTTGTGGCTATTCAATTTTTACCCACAATCGATTGCTTTCATTTTGCAGCCAGCACGTATCACGCAGCGTCCATAGAGGCTTCCCCTGACTTTATTTCTAAACATTTTTGCACTTGTTTGCCGTTACAGTACGCGTTACTGCTGTTTTAGGTAAAATTTGGCGATGCAGGCAAAATTTGAGACTGCAAAACGTGAAATGTTGAATGCTAAAAGTGACAGCTCATCTTTAATGACCTATGATCGTTATAATACAATATTAAATCAATTAAAATAGGCGAAAGAGGAAAGAAAAGACGGAATAGCTTTATGTTCTCAAGATTATCGCCGCATTAAACTATCACGACCATTCAACAAAATTTATAGTACCACGTCCACTAAAAACAAAGACTACTGAAGAAGTACCAGATATCATTTTGTATATACAGGTGATTCACATAAGAACCGACACAGAGCAGGGACATGTAGAGGACAATAAATTAAGATGATTTAACGCAACTCATCTCTATACTAAGTTGTACCTTTGAGGAGTTATAAGCTTCAAAGTTGGGTCTTAAATTTTTAAAACATTGGGCGAGTTCACCAAAGAATTCCGTTTATGTTGGCAAACGCAAACGGGTACGATTGCGTTGGTGATTTGGTGAACGGCCAATTTTTCTATAGACATATGGTTTGATAACAACAGATGGCGCTTTAATGACATTTATTTACAATTTTAATTAATTTATAGGTATATAACTCAATTTATCATTAATTTCTTCATTTTCAAAGATAGTATACACTAACCCATTATAGTATATTATTCAACAAGCGTATAATGGCGGCTGTTACCCACGAAGAAGAAGTTGCAACACGAGCGAGCGAAGCGAGCGAGTGTTGTAATCTGAGTGGGTAACATCCATTATACGCAAGTTGAATACTATACTTTATCTACAACTATTTAATTTTGAAAAAAAAATCAAAAAAACGAAAAAAAAATAAACTTGATAGACATTTCAGACATAACCTCAATATAAGAAAGCTGTCATTTCTGTTAATATTTTATTTTTTGATTAGTAGGCAGTGTCAGAAGTGTGGAATAATGGCCTCATTATTCAACACTTTGTCTGTCATGGGTAATGAGTGTCATTACCCGTCAAAAATCAATTGTATAACGAATAGATAATTCAATAGTTGTAGATAAAA